AGGAACCATCTGTTTTGCATATTGTACAGCACCGAACACTTTATTGGCACTTAAATGAAAACAGTACCAGAACAACCAAATGAAATGTGAATGTCACTAACAACAATTGCTTATTTTAACCATCAGCTTATTCTCCACCAATGGAAAATCATATACTTTCTTCTGGCAACAATGGCACTTTAGAGTACAAGGCATCTTTGGCCCCTATCTCACCAGGAAGATATTCGCCTATTCCAAAGCACATGCTTGTAGAGGACGACTATACCAGGTCAGATATCTTTCCTTATGTATTGCCTTTGGTAATGACTACAGTGAGAATTAACAAGGGGGAAGGAACACAAGCTTAAAATAAAGAATGGGTTCAAGACTATAAGTTAGATGTATTGAGGAACTAGGCAAAACAATCTTGGAACCACTAACAGTTATGTTTGGGAATTCATGGAGGACAGGTGAATTCCCAGAGGACTGAAGCAGGACAAACATGGTCTGTGTATTTAAAAATGGGAACGATAGATCAGTCAGCCTAACTCTGATACCCAGAAAGATACTGGAACAAGTTACTAAACAATCAATTTCTAATTATGTAGAGATTGTTATAAAGAGGATAGTGATTGATTATTGTCGATGTCCACTGAAGAAAAGACAAGAAGTAATCACCATAATTTTCTTCAAAGAAGATTTAGGTAGAGATCAAGAAAAGTTTTCTAACTATAAGAAAAGTTACACACAGGAATAGTCTTTGAAGGAATGCTATGGAATCTCCCCTTTTGGAGGTTTTTAAGATCAGATTAGACAAACACTTGTAATGGATGGTCTAGGTTTACTTAGACTAGCCTCCACACAAGGGGCTAGATGACCTTGCAAGGTCCCTTCCAGCTCTACCATTTGATGTTTCTGTGGTTAATAACAACAGTGGTGTATTTGGTGCAATAAATTGACTGAACTTATTATATGGAAATGAGACAATAAAGCTGTAACTGTTTAGTTGGTTTTGAAGTGGATAGGGAGGGTGGGAAATGCTTTCTTTACATCCTGTATGTCCCTATGTAAAAGAATAAATGGACACAAATCAGATATCAGCAGTGGTGATATAAAAAAATCTGTAGGGGAACACTTCAATCTCCCTGGACACACAGTAGCAGATTTAAAGGTAGCCATCCTGAAAAAAAAAAAAACCAACTTCAAGACCAGACTTCAAAGAGAAACTGCTGAGCTACAGTTAATCTGGAAATTTGACCCCATCATTTTAGGATTAAACAAAGACTATGAATGGCTAGCCAACCACAAAAGCAGTTTCTCCTCTCTTTGTGTTCATGCCTTAGGATCAGCTGCTAGAAGTGGGTCTCATCCTCCCTGACTGAATTGACCTCGTTATCTCTAGCCTTACTCTTGATTGGTACTCTTTTCTTATGCCTGTATATTTATACCTGCCTCTGGAATTTCCACAACATGTATCTGAGGAAGTGGGTCTTTGCCCACGAAAGCTTATGCTCCAATAAATCTCTTCGTCTGAATCTGCAAAAACGACAAGGAGTCCTGTGGCACTTTGTAGACTAACACGGCTACCCCTCTGATACTATGTTAGCTAAGTGTTGCTGACGAGACAATTTATTTAATTGTTATTGAAGGGTGGTTAGAATATTGGTCAACCTGTTATAATAATAGGAGAGAATGAACATTGTACTTCTTTCCTCCAATATTCTTCTATTTTCATAGTTTCATAGCATTTCAGGCTAGCTGGGACAATTATGGCTGACTTGCATAGCACAGGATAATAACCTCAATCCAGTAATTCCTGTATCAAGCCCCTAACTTCAGTTTGCTTTCAGTGTGTGTTTGCTCTTATGCATCTCTAAGGTCCTATAAGATACACGACTTGTTTATGACATGTGGATTCAGAGAGCTTCATGACATTTGTGACAGGCTGCCCCCTCTGAGATGCCAGCAGATGTGCTCAGATCCCTCTGAGCCTGTCTGTTATGCCACCTTTGGCACCCTTTCTGCCTCTCTTGCTGATACATGCTATTAAGCCTCCTCCAGATCATATACAGGCAAGACCACAACTGCAGAACAATACAGGCACTGAGGCCAGGTCTAGACTACAACGTTTTGTTGGAAAAAGCTATGCAAAATACGCTCCACATTTTGCGTAGCATTTTCTGATTCTTTTGTTGGTCCATTTAGACTGTGTCAAATGTCAGAAAAAGTGCTTTCAGAAGCCCCCTTCTTCCTCATGGAAGGAGGAATACAGGGGCTTCTGAAAGAGCGCATTTGCACTTCCGCAAAAAAAAAAGCGAAAATGCAAACATGTTCCCTGAGCCCCACAGTGTAGACATAGCCGGAGATCAGCTTTGGGAAGACACAGTTCATGGGATTTGCCTCTGCACTCAGGTATCTACCTCCCATGAAGAGTAGACCCAAAGTTATATGTTATTCACCCCCTTCCTCAATGTGGAGGAAGGTATACACAACTTCTTGACCTCCCCAGTTAGAAATTACATAAACTGGGTTATATTATAAGCAAGAAATACGTTTCTAAGCAAAAAATATTGAATTTTAAGTGGCAAAGAGGTAACAAACAGAACAAAGCAGATTACCAAGCAAATGGAATGAAGTACACAAATTAAGCTTGATTCACTAAAGAAATTGGTCGCAACTAGTAATTTGTCACCCTAAACATTGTTTTAGGTAGATTCCTTCACAGGCCAGATATCTTTCCAGCCTGAGGGTCACAGTTATTTCCCCCTTCCAGTCCTTGTTTCCAGGTGTTTTTAGCATCTCTCTGCGTGGGAAGGAAATGAACTGAATCTTAGGGTATGTCTAGACTACAGGGTTTTGTCGACAGAAGTTTTGTCGACAGATACTGTCGACAAAGCTTCTGTCGACAAAGAGCGTCTACACTACATTCAGTTCTGTCAACAAAGCAAGCTGCTTTGTCGACATGGCAGTGTAGACGCAAGAACAGTTTACATGCAATAACACCTTCTGTCGACAGAACTCTGTCGACAGAAGGCGTTATGCCTCGTAAAATGAGGTTTACCAGCGTCGACAAAACTGCTGAGTTCTGTCGACATTATGTCGACAGAACTCAGCAGTAGTGTAGACGCAGGTATAGTTTTGTCGACAAAAGTCCACTTTTGTCGACAAAACTCTGTAGTCTAGACATACCCTTATATAGGATTTTCTCCCTCATGTTATATAGGATTTCTATAAGGCAGAATCCTTTGCCCCCCCCCAGTGGAAAAATTGAGCAGTTCAAAATGTAGTTTAGCATCAGATCAGGTCACCCAACTGTAGTATCATAGCATCCATGGTCGGTGGCAATGTGGCGTAGCTGAAGGAAGGCCAAACTTTTTCACGGGCCATTGTCCTCACTGATGACCATCAGCCCTGTCTAGCTTTTCCATTGCTGTACCTGAAGTGTGTGCAGTGGGCATCACTCAAAGTAGCATAGCTGAAATATGGATGCATTAGCAAATTGGATAATCATATTCAATAAATCAGAACCTTTCCAGTGATACCTTACACGGGTTATCTTGAAAAAAGCGTATCTTAGTTATGCCATATTTATACCACAAACAAATTTTCATAAAGAATATTGAGTTTAATTTCACAGCATTTTTTTTAAACAAAGGGTTAAAGTGTGGGAGAAACACACCTCCTCTCCCTAGCTTAGGTAAATCAACAGCCTTCTGCTGCTCTAAATTTTCCTTGGTTGAGTGAGGACTCACCTGCCTCTTTCAGTGAACTATAGAAGATTCACCAAGGATGAATTTAAATCAATGAATTGTTTTGTTACAGAAGTTTCTTCCATCCAATTAGATTTTTAATGCACAGCTAAATCACAGATTTAATCAATTTTTGTATCAAAACTTTCTATGGATCAATACTATTTTCATAATTCTAAGCTACCTGTGATATTTTAACAAGGAATCGTGTATAACCTAGTTCTTGGTAATTCAACATATGGGGCCAAATTCCGCCCTGGTGTACAACATTTCTTCCAGCATCATTGTGCGAGGGGAGTAAGGATGTAAGTGACTAGTCAACCTGATAAGCATAGGCTTATTGTGACTAGTGCAGCCAGGATAGGGAGCGTCCCACCTCCCCCTTGTCGACTAATTGAGTAGTTGATAGAAATTCCATCATCTGTTTGATGATCTGATTAATCAAAATTTAACATCTCTAGTGGGGAGGGAAGCTACAATAGGAGGGCATTGAGTAATGTAAAGAATCCACAGAAAGAGCAAGTAATGTGTTACGGAACCCAGGGAGCCACAGAAGGGTGCAAGGAAGGAATTAGGAAAGGAAAGGAAAGACACAGTGTGAGTGAGGAAGCATTTAAACAATTGAAGGTATAAAGAGGAAAAGAAAGGATTTTGAGAATGCCCCATGTTTTTCTTCATTCCATTTGACCAGAAGGTTACTCCCCATCCCATTGCATGCATATCTATCTATAGTGATCTGCTCAAATATCGCCACCAAGCTTGATAACTGTGATACACTCTGGGAAAAGAGGCTGGAGTGAAGTGTTCATAGCAACTTGTATTTTGTATTATTTGGCAAATGCAACAACTGGTACAAAACACGGCAGTTTGTCTGCCTAGCAGGAAAGGTTGCCATGTCTGAGCACCCCAGTTTTGCTCTCTCTGTTCTGGATCCCCAGTGAATAGGGTTCAGTTTAAATGTGGCCCCGAAGCCCTGTTTGATATTGGCAGTAGCAATCTGAGAAATTGGCTCTCTGCCGCAACAGTGAACTATGACACACATATTTCATTGGAAGCCTAAAACTGTCATCCAGTAGGGAGAGTCTCGTGAATGTGATAGAATCAATTACTGGTAATCAAGCAATTACTTTTACCTGCTAGAAGGGAAGAGGGTAATTTTGCCTTTTTTAGGATAATGGTAAGCACTCGGATGCTACTGTGATGGTCAAGAGTATGTGAACTTGAAGACTGTTGTTCACTGCTCATAAGTAGTGCTGGTCTGGAATTTTCATAATGAAAGTCTTTCATCAGCAAATGTTGATTCACAGAAATCGATTTTTTTTCACATATGTACTAATTTCAGCTGTTTCCTCAGATCCATGATAGGATTATATCACCTGTTCAATTCATGTCATGCCCTTTGGGACTATTACAGACTCATTGTTTCACATATTTACCAAAAATGCCACCAAGCTGTATTATGTGAACAAATCATAGAATCATAGAATAATAGGACTAGAAGGGATCTCAAGAGGTCATCGAGTCCAGCCCCCAGCCCTCA